TCTCATTCTGAATGTAGTACTCTAAACAGTTTCTAATCAGAGTTTTATGTAATTACAACAAAGCTTCCATTCTTTGTATTCCAGCCTTGTGAAGATAGAACCAGTATTACAACAACCTTTAAAATTAATGTTTACATTTGTCCATTAGTTTTTGATAAATTATTTTACTGCTCTGGGATTTGTTGTCACTGAAGGGATTAAGACTGCCCAAACTCGCTCATGTTGAAATTCTTTACCCAATTGATAGGGGAAATTTTCACTTCATCCATTTGGATTAGATAAAATCCTAAAGCCAGGAGATGAAATGGACTCTCCATTAGGCATTTTAGCATTTGACTGAGTGAAACTGAGCTGATAAACATAGAGAAGCAGTATGTATACAGCAAGGGGGAAGATGACATGTTATATCACAACATGAGAATAGCCATTTGTTACAGTGAAACAAATTGCAGTGCATGAAGTACCCTCTTTGGAAATGTGGCTTTTGGAAAATCCTGGATATGTAATCTACTTGACTCTGATTAAATCTTCTAAAAAGAAAGGACTTGGAGTTTGACTCCATTTTGCACAAAAGCTTTATTTGCTAAATATCAGCCCCACCCCCACAACTTTTCTTTGAAGACCCCTGAATCCCTCTTCCCTGGCCAAAACCCTCAGCATTGTTTACAAATTGCTACACATTCTCCTGAGATTAGGCTCAAGGCTAAATTGAGAATATTTAATTAAAAATAAGGCCCACTCTGGTCTCCATATGTGACAGCTACTTACTGCTGCATCTTTTAAGATGAAGTATGATGCTATCAAAGTCGAAGTGCTGGGAAATTTCTCACAATGACGACCAAACATAAATAGCAATCATGTTTTTTTTCAGAAAGCGAGAGTAGAATTGTACAAGATCTCAAATGACTGCAGTGTAGCAACAGGTCACTTGGCCTATTTATGGGTGGATATTTTTTAATATATCTTTGCCACTGGGCAGTAATTACAAGGCTCTATATAGGTCAGAAAATCTGCTCTACCATATTACAGTATAGATGATGATGGTGAGTGTCCACCTAATTGTGTCTGCGCTGACTCTTTACTAGAGCAATTCAAAGTGAATCCAACTATTATGTTCTTCTTTTAGAACTGAACATATCAATCACACACCAGGAATGGCAAAACAATCATGTATTTTATTTCTTTGAAGATATTCCTACATACAGATAATATTCTCTGTGAACTAAGTACTGTATATCTGATCTCTCCATCTGCTAATAGATTGCTTGCAAATCAGGGGACTAATATATTTTTTGAGATGCAACATGAAGAACAGCAGTTTGCTATATTCCCTTAAAGGTGTATTCACATTATGTCACAACATTCACTGTCCCATGTTCTCCCCCTAGTCACTTACCTTTCACTGCTTCAAATATTTATCTACCATATTCACCAAAATGATCCTCCACAAAAAAGCTAGGACATAGGAGCAGGGGTAGGCATTTCTGCCTGTCAAACCTTCTCCACCATTCAACATGATCTCTACTTTAAACATACTCAAAGATTAAGCTTCCACAGTCCTCGGTGTTAGAGAATTCCAAAGATTCACAACCTTCTGCATTAAATTACTTCTTTCGATCCTAAATGAATTCTCCCTTGTTTTGAAATTATCCCCTCACGTTCTAGACTCCCCAGTCAGGGGAACCATCTTACCTGAGTCTAACTTGTCTATCTGTTTAAGTATTTGTAGGTTTAAATTCGGGCCCAATTTCCCCAATCTCTCCTCATAAGACGGTCCCACCACCTGGTGAACATAGTGCAACAAAAGTTTATCAAATTTCTGGAATATAATAAGATAAGCTGTATTCCAGTTGTGATCTAAACAAGGTTCTGTATAGTTGAAGCAAGACTTCACAACTCCTGTACATGGATCATTTTGGAGTAAAGGCTAGCCTACCATTAGCCTTCCTAGTAGCTTGCTGCATCTGCATATTAGTCTTCAGTGATGTATTGTCTAGGACATCTAGGCCCATTTTCTAAATCTACACTTTCTAACCTATTACCGTTGAAGAAATAATCTTCACACCTGTTCCTCCTATAACAATGAATGATCTTACATTTTTCTACATGTTCCATCTGCATTGTTCTTCCCTGGTCACCTAAGCCTGCCCAAGTCTGCTCACAGCCATTTTGCATCATGTTTACAGCTCACATTTCCCACCTAGCTTTGTGTCATTTGTGAACTTGGTAAACGTGCATTTAATCCCCACAACCAAATCATTGATCTACATTTTGAACAGCTGGGACCCAATTACTGAGACTTGCAGTATGAAGTATATCAGCATGAAGGGCAGGACAGGGTGGATAGAAAGGCAAAGTTGAAGGGCAAAGAACAACAGGGCACACTTTTAAAGTGAAAGCAGGAGGTTTAGAGATGATTTAAGATAAGATTCTTTCACCCAGAGTGTGCTGGGGGTCTGGAATTCACTGGGGAGGGTGGTTGAGGCAGGAAACATCACAACCTTAAAAAAAAAGAACTTGGATGAATGCTTGAAATGTCATAACAATTCAAGATTATATGCCTAATGCAGGAAGGTGGGACTAGTATAGATGGTAATTTATTTTTGGTAGTATAGACTCAAAGGGCCAAAGAATCTCTTCTGTACAGTACGTTTCTATGAGAGCCTCACACCTTTTAGTATTTTCTTATCCCTTTTCTCCCCATCATATAATTAGTTTCATACATAAATCACTCCCTGAATAATGAGCATATATTTTGGAAAGAATGAAAATAAGTTACTGAATGACATCAGCCTGTGGAAAGAATTACATATTTAGGTTTGTTGATTAATTGCTTGTATAGTCATTGGTTTGTCTGTGTCTTTCTAGCTGCCAGTTTCATTCATGATAAGAACAGTGTACATTCCTGCATTACCATGGGGTAGCCTAGATGCAGTGTTCTACAAATTTTTTGAAACATGGCTATCTACTTTATACAATATCAATGAAATGATTGGCCCACCCAGCTTAACTGAATGCAGAGTTTTCGGCATAATAAGTGAAATGACATGAGGAAATATACTCATCTATCATAAATTATTGTCAAATCTACACCAAAGTTGAACTTTGCTTTGTTTTCTAAACATTTTGCAGAGAATTTTATTTTATTGCACTTCAAAGTGTTCAAATACCTAGGCACAGTGAATACCAGGAAAGCAAGTTAGAAGAACAATGTGCCCAAAATGGAGCTTAATGACTGTTGGTGACACAGATAAATAGCAGAAAATTGGACAATCTTCATGAGGAATGTTGCTGTTTTTTCCCTCACAGATTTCTTCTAGTCACCTTGTTCATGCAATTAACAGAGGTGCAGGAAGAAGAAAATGACAGCCTGAAGAGAGTTTCACATTTTTTATAGTGGTGCTTGCTTGTTTATTATTCCATCCCTCATCCAATGACAGAGCCAAGAAATGTGGCTATGATCTGTGATTGAGACTTGAGGTAGATAATTTGGAATGTGAGCTACGATATCCACTGTAATCACCTCATGTACTCATCACATTTGAAGCAGCTCTTTGTTTATTTTAAGTACAGTGATTGAATCTCATATTTTTAAAATACAAAGGGTCATTTGTTAGAAACCCTGTTTAATTAAATATTGCTATAAAGGTTAAAATGCACAAATTTTGGCCATGGACTACATTACTCACCAGTTTGTGAACAGATTAATGTACTGTGTCGAAAGTTTCTGGGAAATTAACTACTGTCCATTAATAAACTGTATTGATGTAGTCTGGCAACCTAACAGGAGGATGCCTGTAGTTTGGACATAAATTATATCTGTGTTATCTTACTACAGTGTGCTGGGAAGTGTCAACTCAATATAATAATATGTGTAAATGATGTGGTTTTGTATTAATATTTAGGGCTGGACTCTGTAGGGCCAGGAGATTCTTTTCCATCAGTTGGAGATCAGGAGAAAGCCCAATAGAACTTTGTGTCCTGAAGGCACTGAACTGTCACCATTGGGTCTTGCTGGGAATGATGTCCTGGGTGGTGCCACATAGAGAGCTCCCGGCAAGTCAGAAACTAATAGCTACACCAATTGCTGAGATTGCAAAAAGGGTGGTTTGGGGGAAGTATCTGTCCATACCTCCCCAACCCTCCCCCTGTGCCATTGTTGGGTCTTCCAATGACTGCACTGATAAGGTCATTGTTTGCTGGGCAACCTGCTGGGGCCACGGCAGGGTTGTGTAGCCTCCATTTAAATTCCTGAAGCACCACTAACTACAGTGGGATCACAGGTATCCATTCACTCATTTGAGCCTAATTGCCATTGCGCTGTCAGTGGCCATGAATCCCATGGTGGTACCGCCTGTGCTCCCACTTCATCGGGAGTTTTCCACATCAGAAGACTCTCCCCTATTTAAGCAGGCCTGTCCATCGTGGTCCCTACTGTCATTGGCTGCATTAAATCCAGCTTTTAGAACTTTGGTCTTTAAAGATTAGTTCATATACACAGTAGCTAATCACTGTATTGCTTGTTTTTCGGTGTCAGAGAGCTCACTTGGCTAGATTGCCAGTTTGCAATGTTGTGTGACGCCAACATTGTGGGTTCAATCCCTGTACCGACTGAGGACTGTCCTTCTCAACCTCGCCCCTCACCTGAGGCATGGTGACCCTATGGTCAAATCACTGCCAATTGGCTCTCTCTAAAGAGAGAGCAGCCTATGATCTGGTAGGAATGTGGCAACTTTACCTCTAACTTTATTGCTTCCTTTATGAACAAGATCTGTGCTTCACTGCTGGAGTCCACAGTGTGAAAGCTGTGAAGCTAAAACAAAACAATTTCCATCTACATTTCAATGGAGTAAGAATTCTGCTTGGCATAAAATTCCAGCTAATTACATTTCTGTTCTTGGTGGTTGATTTAGATATTAATAAGCATGCTTAAATGTATATTGTGCAAAATATATTTTCTCCTGATATACATATCACAGTTGATTTTTTTAAAATTCCAGGTTTTCAGTGAATTTGAGATCGAGCAACACCAGGAATGTGCTTATGATCATCTAGAAGTGTTTGATGGAGAAACTGATAAATTTGCCATCCTGGGTCGATTCTGTGGTAGCATGATTCCAGCTCCTGTCATTTCTACTGGGAACAAAATGTTTATCAGATTTGTTTCAGATGCATCTGTACAGAGGAAAGGCTTCCAGGCTGCCCACTCCACTGGTAAGTTTAGTGAAATGCTGATACTTTAGGACGTCTCATTCAAAAATTTCTCTTTTGGAAACACCTTCGTAAAAATGAGACCCTGTATAATCAATAGTTTTTAAAAATATCAAATATATACCATTGATTAAGTAATTAATAATATTTTGGGAAATCATAAGGATTACTGCCACATGGGGTTAGTTTTCCAGCAGTGCATGGCCATTATTAATTATTGTTGGGTTTTGTTATACTATCTTTATTATATTACTTGCTTTTACATCAACAGTTTTGAAATTCACCATTTAAACAAGTTCATTTGATATATTTAATACATAGATTTAATATCACAGTTTCTGGTTTGTAAAGTCTGCAACATTTTGATTTCAATCATTCATAAAATAAATGCAGCCCATTTTCTTTAATGTAGTGAATGGATATCTAAGCCATATCACAAAAAGAACATCTAACATCCTCCTTATGCTGACAACAGTTGTTTGTGAGCAATTGTAAATGATCCAGAATGCAGTATGTTTCAGAATGTTTAATGATCATACAGGTATTATAAAATTGCTGAGTAGGTTATAATATTCCATTTCAAACTAATTGGAAAAGTAATGTCACTTTCTCTTTCTGTTGTAGAAGTGTCTGCTACAGCTGTTCTGTTTATAGGTGGCATTGAAATAAAAACAGGAAATGCTGTCAATACAAAGCAGGTCAGGTAGCATTTATGGAGGAAGTTGAGAAAGTTAACATTTCTGGTCAATGACCTTTTGTCAGAATTTGTTTTAGTATAGTATTGTCAATTAGTGATGTAGTTACTTCCTCATGAAATGGTTTCCCACTGTACAATTGCTGTGAAAGGCAATTTCCTGCCTTCATTTGCGAAGATATGAACAAGGTACACTTGGCCGTTTGAGCCTGATTCAATAAAATCATGGCTGATCTGATTTTAACTTCAACTCTTATATTACTGCATAACACCAAGAATCTTTCATTCCCTTGGTAATTAAGAATCTAATTACCTCTGTCTTTAGAATATTTAAAAGTTGGATGCAGTCTCCTGAACTTGTATGTAGATCAGAATTAGCTGACAGGGCCTCACTCTCTGGAATTCCCTTCTCTTTTTGCTTTTTAAAGTCCATCTTTTTGACCAAATATTCAGACGCCCCTCCTAAATATTATTGGGAAAGATTTTTAGCTCGCATAAAATCCATTTACTTAGACATAGTTAAAATCACACTGAATATCTCTTATAGTTTGACTCAATTTTTGTTTCCTCTTATGCCCCTGTGGATTATCTTGGAGCAGTTTTTCCATGTTAAATCTGCTCTATTGCTGTGTAGATTGGTGTTGTTGTTGTGGAAGGGGTTTTTCTTACCCCATTTCAACTTTTTTTCAATTTAAGTAGATTGGAAGTCTGATTTAACTTGTGTTTCATGGTTCACCATTTTGTGGTGTCATAGTGCCACCTTGTGGCAAAGACAGTTTTTAACTGTCGGTCTCATTTGGCTTGCAGATTGTAATACTAGTTGAAGATAATAACTGTCGCAGGATCAGCAGACTCCAGTCATGAAAGCAAATGAGCTCAGTATATTTCTCAAAATAAATTTCAAGTAAAACACATTTGCTTGCATATCTTACTTTTGTTTCATCTCTCTGTCAACAAGAGAAGTTGCATACCTATGATATCACTAGGTACCAGGAGGAGCCCTGCTTTACATTAAAGAGCATAGGCAAGGGCAGAAGTACCCCTTTTCTACTATGAACAATATCCTGTCAGAATTTAAAACCCTGAAAAAACACCACTCATCTTCAGTAAATGCTAAAAATGCTCAGCAAGTCAAGCAAATTTGTAGATACTATGCTGTTTAGATTTTTATTAGGCATTGTGAATGTGTTGCTATGACTTATTTCATTATGAAGTGTGATGTTGGTTTACATCTACATTTAAACTTCAAAATTTAACAGTTTGCAGCCTTCACATCCCATCAGGGAAATATGTAGAGCAGAGACCTGTGGTGAAAAAGCAAAATATACCAATGCTAAAAATCCGAACTATAAAAACAGAAGCAGCTGGAAATGCTCAGCAGGTTGGGCAAGTTCTGATCAATCTGATTAATTAACCTGAGATATTAACTGTTTCTCTCTCCATGGATATTGCCTGACTTGCTGAGCATTTTTAGCATTTACTGAAGATGAATGGTGCTTTTTCAGGATTTTAAATTCTGACAGGATATTGTTCATAGTAGAAAAGGGGTACTTCTGCCTTTGCCTATGCTCTTTAATGTAAAGCAGGGCCCTCTTGGTACCTACTGATATCATAGATATGCAACTTCATGTGTCTTATAGACTGATCTATGACCCCACTTAAGTTTAATGATGTGGTTTTGAGTTTTTATTATCCATGGTATCATAGTTTTTTTCCTTGATTTGGACAGCTCTAAAAGAAAGGCGAATAGGGAAGAATGTTGCTTGGGTGTTGCAGGTCAACTTTTGGGTGCAACTTTCTTGAGCTGTTGGAAGTTCTTCAGCAAACTGATACTGTAAAATGCATTCAGAGATAGTAGGAGCTGCTGATGCTGGAGTCTGAGATAACAAGGTGTGGAGCTGGATGAACACAGCAGGCCAGGCAGCATCAGGGGAGCAGGAAAGCTGACGTTTTGGGTCTGGACCCTTCTTCTTTATCTGTAAAATGCATTTATCTGTTATATTGTTGAGGTGTCGTTGAGTCATGACAGTGCATTAAAGCTAACTTGATGGTAGATCATATTAAAGTAAATGTTCTAGAGTTATATTTGGTCATCATTTTAAAATTTAATGTTTAAAAAAATCCCTTCAAGGTGGCAGATCAAAATCTACTTAGAGATGTTTAAGTGAAGATCTGAAAGGGATTATCGCACCTGCTACTATTTTGGCTAATGAAGTAAGACTGTTACAGCATTAGCATTGATTCAATGGACAGTGCAGGAGGGCATGCAAGGAGCAGTTCCATGCATTCCTAAAAATGAGGTGTCAACTTGGTGAAACTACAAAACAAGACTATTGCATGCCAAACAGCATAAGCAGCAAGTGATAAACAGTGATTTTTGCAACCAGTGAATCAGATCTAACCTCTGTGATCCTGCCACATCCAGCTGTGAATGAGAGTATTCAATTAACTCACTAGTGGAGGAGGAGGCTGTACAAATATCCCCATTCTCAATGATGGAAGAGCCCAGCACATCAGTGCAAAGGAGAAGGCTGAAACGTTTACAACAATCTTCAGCCAGAATTGCCAAGTAGATGATCCATCTCTGCCTTCTCCAGTGGTCCTTAGCATCACAGATGCTAGTCTTCAGCCAATTCGATTCACTCCACATGATATCAAGAAATGATTGGTGGCACTGGATACTGCAAAGGCTATGGACCCCGACAACAATCCCACCACTGCAAACATTCAATAGTGGCTGTGTGTATGATATACAAGATGCACTGCAGAAACTTGCCCAAGATCCTTAGATAGCATCTTCCAAACCCACAACCACTTCCACTAAGGGCAGTGGACACATGGGGACAACACCACCTGCAAGTTCCTCTCCAAGCCACTCGCCATCTTGACTTGGAAGTATATCATTATTCCTTCACTGTTGCTGGGTCAAAATCCTGGAATTCCCTCTGGCCTTGTGGGTCTACCTACAGCACATTCACAGCAGTGGCTTAAGAAGGCAGCTGACCACCACCTTCTCAAGGGGAACTGGGGATAGGCAATAAATGCTGGCTTAGCCAGCGATGTGCACATCCCACAAGAGAAGTAAAAATAAACAACATATTCAATTTTCTTATGATAATAAATATATGCCCCAATATGAAATAGATTGCTTCCTATTTGGCTGCAGAGTACAGAATATGATCTTAACCCAACAAACTTCTCTCATGATCATATCTTGTGGGATAATGTTCCTGTTCAGAGACTTACTGAATAACCTTTCTAGTAGAATGTTTTCTGATGGCTCAAGAATTTAATCACCAAACAAATGATGAACATCCCAGACTAGAAACCTAGTCTCTGTTAATATATCTGTTCTCAGCCTGATTGTGGTGAAAGTGGTGGTAGTTGTAGTTATATTTTAGATTCTCAGGGTTTGGAGGGGAAAAGTTGATTAGAATTAGTGTTATATAACCAGAAGAAGCTTTTAGCTATTTGTGTGAGTGATGGAGGAAGGGTCGCTCGACCTGAAACGTTAACTCTGATTTCTCTCCACAGATACTGCCAGACCTGCTGAGCTTTTCCAGCAATTTATGCTTTTGTTAACTATTTTAGGCTCAGTTTCATCCTGTTGAATCTAATTGTAGCCTTTCAAAACAAACATATCCTTCCTCATGTGTGGTGCCTAGAATGGAAAAGAGTATTTTAGTCTCAATAAATAGTCAGTGTATTGTTGTTATTGAAGACCTAGGTTTGAGTAATTATTGCTTGACTGATTGGGGTTCCTATGACTTGGGAAAGCAAAAGGTTAACAACCTGGAAGAGCTGCCTTCAGAAGAGCAGCCAAATAGTAACCCTTTTGACAGCATCTCAGATGCCAGTAGTGTCATCTCAATTATTTGCTAACAGCTAGCAGTGGAGTGGACAACAATAAATTCTGGAGACAAAGTTTAGAAAATAAAACATAATTGTTTTATATAAATCTGATATTTGGGTGTAATCTTCAGAAATTTCAGTAGATAAAAATGATTTATTTGGCTTTAATTTGCATTAATCTTGGAGGGATTCTGAGGCACTATATGGATTATTGTAGTTGACGGAAATGAAAGCATTAATCCGAGCTAAACTGATGCTGCAACCGCTCTGATATATAACACAGCTACTAGGTGGAGCAACAGGCAGTCTTAGACCGTTCAGGATAACTTCTGGTATGGAGCCTAGCAGAATCTCCTGTTGGAAATGCGTGTGTCTTCCTAGCTCCCATTTGTAGTAGACAATATGCCTAAGAATGAATGTAATCTGTGTCTAGTTACTGAGGTGTAATACACTGCAT